TTCGAAACTGACAAATTTTTGCCTCGTTAAAAAAAATTATATAATGATCCAGCAAGATTATTTAATTCTGTTACTTTCCGATCTTATTTGTTCTAATTTTAATTCTGAGGGTTTTATATGAGTGTATGTATATATGTTTACATACTTTTTGTACTTTGCATATTTAGTTTTTTAGGTTTGCTTTAATATTTATCTATTTGTGTGTATGTACATAGTATCAAGTAGGGCTTCCTTTGGCCTTAATAGCCTCAGTTTGACAATGTGGCTTTAATTGACCAAATTTTTGGGTCTCTTTTGTTATTATACTATCCCATGCACTCATTATAGCTTCTTTCAAATCGTCTTTTCGTCTATATGCTTGGTCGCCAATTTTTCTGTTCAAAATATACCACAAATTGTCATTCAAATTAAAGTGCAGACTTTAAGATGGCCATTTCAAAACATTGATGTTATTTATGTCAAAGTATACCTTTGTTATCTAATTTCCATGGAATTTAATCAATTTGACATTCTTTTTGAACTGTATGATTTTTTTTTTTTTTGCAGTCAATTTTATGCATCATTAGATTATTTGCGTAAAATTCAATAGGCAATTAATTCAACAATAAAAAAATTATTAAAAAAATACTTGATAAAATATCTAAAAAATTTTTTTGAATATTTTAACAGATAACTCATTTTTTTTGATGCAATCTTTAAAGTTATGATTTTTTTAAGTGTACAATTATTGAGAGAGAGATATCAACTTGGTCGAACCATCCAACAATCTTATTGCAACAATCTTATTGCTCTACATTTTTTGTATCTCATCACTAATACTCGTGGTTTTCAATGTAACTTTTCTTCTGTTGATCCTTATCTCTTGCAAAGTTCACTAGACCTACTTGCTCTTTGTCTAATTTTAGACTCATTTGAGTTCAGCTGTCTCATCTTGTGATCATAGTGATGATAGTTATATTAATTTAATTCATAGAGACTTCAATAGTCACATGCTTGGACTAAGCATTTACATTTTTAAGAATTCACCCATTAGTCGGAAACTAGATTTGAATCAACAGGCTATTTTTATATGTGCTTTCATTTAGCACCACTTCACTTGATTGACTTTCTCTTTGTTCTATATCAATCAGCTTTATCTTTCGACTACACTCTTTTTAAAGTTATTTTTGATCAAATTGACCAAGCCCTCTCTCTTTATTCATCAGCTAATATTGTTATTGTTGGTGACTTTAATACTCATCACACTTGTTGGCTTGGCTCTAGTGTCAGTGACTCTGCAGGCATTAAAGCCTACAACTTTTGCCTTTCTCAATCTCAATCCCTAACTCAAACATTCAACTTCCCAACTCGCTTTCCAGACAACCCGAATCATTTACCTTTGTTACTCAACTTATGTCTTCTTTCTCATTCGAGTCCGTGCTCAGTTTCTCCACATCCACCCTTAGGTGCTTCTAATCTCACTCTTCTTCATCATCAGAGTTCTTTTATCATCATATCTCTAACAACAACCATAAAGCTGACTGAGACTATTTCCGTGATTTTCTTCGTGATGGCCCTTGGGTAGAAATATTTCGTCTTCCTGCTGACAAATGTGCTTCTTACATAACTTTGTGGATTCAGGCTGGCATGTAATCTTTTCTTCCCTCTCAACGATTCCAGGTCAAGTCTCACTCTTCTCCATGATTTTCCTCACATTGTGCTGCTGCAATTTCTTATCGAAACCAATACTTCCCGATCTATCAGCAAAACAATTCTCCTGAAAACAGATGTCAGTTTATTACTGCTAGAAACTATAGTAAAAAGCTTTAATAAGCTCTAATGCCAAAGCCTGCTATTCTAAGGTCATGAAATCTTGCATTTTATCACAAAAATTAGGTTCTTGTGATTTCAGGAAAATCTTATACAGTATCAATAATAAGAGCAAATCTATTATTCCATCTCTCTTGTATGGTTCAGACTTTATCACCTAACATAAAGACAAAGCTGAATTGTTTACTAAGAACTTTTCATCAACATCATTTCCTGATTCCACTAGTTGAGTTCTACCTCATATAGCCATCTAACAGGTTGGTCCATTGCTACATCATGTGGTCCTGACAACATACAAAATTTCTAAAGAACAATCTGACTTATCTAACTATTGCCCCATTAGTCTTCTATAATATGCAAGGTTTTTGAGACATAAATTAACAAACACATCATCTCTCATCTTGAATCTAATAACTTACTTTCTGATCATCAATATGGACTTGGATATTCTCGTTCTACAGCTGATTTGCTAACAGTAATAACCGATAGGTTTTATCATGCATTAGATATAGGGCGAAGAGGTTAAGGCTATCGCTCTTGACATTTCTAAAGCGTTTGATAAAGTTTGGCATACTGGTCTTCTCCATAAGCATTATTCTTTAGATTATTGAGATCTTCCTTTTTCAAGCTCACTTCTTGCTCACTCACTTCTTGCATTTATGGGCTAGCACATCAGAGCCAGACGTAAGACCTACAGAATGGATTTCAATTGATCGAATGCACACATTAGTCACCGTAGGCCACAAGCCATCACTCTTAATCAAAAGAGCTACTGCCCCGTGCTGGTGTGGAATGATATGTTATGAAGTGGGATTTCAGATCCGAGCACATAGTCAGCGAGCGCTGATCCGACGTGCAAGAAGTTCTTTTTTTGTTTTTTTGTCTTTTTTTGTTCTGTGTTTAGTTGTATTTAATGGGCAGCACTCTTCTTCATATCCTGTAACTTCAGGGGTTCCTCAAGGTTCAAACCTTGGCCCTATACTTTTTTTAATTTACATTAACGATCTTCCAGATATTCTCACATCTAAGGTGGCATTATTTGCTGATGATACTACCATTTATTATTTTCTTGATATATCTTCTTATCACTCTCTGATTGCTTGGATAAGACATTTAAGCTTGAAAAAGATCTCACTTCTGCTACAGCATGAGCTCAAAGTGGCTGGTGACCTTTAATTCAGAAAAAACCAAGTTTATTTCAGCCAATCGTTATTACAATAATTTAGGTCTTTCTTTATCTATGAACAGTAATGTACTCGATGAGTCATCTACCTTTTATCTTCTAGGATTAACTCTTACACTCGATCTTTTTTGGAAGCCATATATTAAATCTATTGCAAAATTAGCATCTGCTAAGGTTGCATCTTTTTATCAAGCTCTACTCTTTCTTACTATGGATTCTTTTCTTGCATGGAACACTGTTGTTATATCTTGGGTGGATCTTCCTACGATGCCTTTTCTCTTTTAGACAAGGTGCAAAAACGTATTTTAAATATAGGACCTGCTCTTGCAGCTAACCTTCATTTCAATTAACCTACAATTCAATCTTTTTTCTGTGACTGTTCCTCAAACATCAGTTTGGAATTCGCTTCCTTCATCTTGCTTTCCTGATTCATATAATATACAATCTTTTAGTCTTCTGTCAATCGTTATCTTGCTTTACAACCTTCATCTTTTCTCTTCCAGTAACTTCCAACTCTAATAGTGGTTGCTTGCAGTTTTTTTATCTATTTTTTTATTTTTTTTATTATGATTCACTCCTAACAAAGCTGCAAGCAACCAAGTTGGTAGTCACTAGAAAAAACGAATAGAGTTATAAAACAAGGAAATGGTTAACTTAACTCAAGACTTAAAAAGTTTAAGGTTGTATGAGTCAGAAAAACATAAAGATGGGAGAGAATTCTAATGGGTTGAAATGCGGGGAAAAAAACTAGATGAATAAAAGTTTTTAGAGCATGCAGGGACAGATACAGTAAAGGAATGAGACTTTGCAGAATGAAAAGTCAAGCGAGAATGAGTTTTAGTTGATGGAACTAGAGATGATAGCTCCTTTGACCAGCAGCCATGAAAATATTTGTAGAAAAAAAAAAAAGATGTACGACAATGGGAAAGAGGCTCAAACTTAGCAGATTGACCAATTACATTTACAATGCGTTTTTGGACCTTATCTAGAATAGAAAGAGCATCATTAGAAGAACCAGCCCAAATATAATTACAGTATTCCATACTGTAATAATATACAGTATTTTGACTCTTTTTCAAACTTTCTGACAAAAAAAAAATTGCAATAACAAAACTACAAAAAAGTGTGTAACAAATTATAGTTTTATAATTCTGAAATAAAAGAATGAAAAATATATAAGATTAAAATTAACTTTTTATTGTTATAGTCATGAATGTAAAATGTATTATTTAAAGATTTTTCTGCCTCAATACAGATACCTTTAATATAAATACCAATAATTTTAAATCTCTACTTATAGGAAGATCTGTCTGTAATGAAGAAGTCAAAATTAGTGGAATTTTTACATTTTTGCAATAAAAAGAGATTCTTTATCAAAGCTTATTATACTTATCATGTTTTCAATTGCTGATGTTCAAAGATCATTATTGAGTAGTGTTTGGTTGTTTCACTCATACATTTAATAAAAGGTTTTAAACTGTTGAGTGGAGGGGCAGATAACAATTTACTAATTTTAATAGATGTAAGGACTAATTTAATAAGTGTTAAATTTTAAATGTTTTTTAAAATATTTGTTTAACTTAATGAAGAATATTTGAAATTTTCTCAATATAAAAAAAAAGTTTAAATTAATGTAAAAAGTTTTGAAAATGAGTTTGAAAATTTAAAGAAGATAAAATAGTTAAGCAAAAGTTTTTAGTTAATAAAAAAAAAAATTTAATAAAAATTTTTTTATAAATTTTAATAAAAAAAACTATTTGTTATGTTTGTTAAAAAAAAAAAAATTATTAAAATTTTTGTTATAAATTTTGATAAAAAAAAACTATTTGCTATGTTACTGCCGTAAAAACATGCATTTAAAAAAGTAAAGTTCAATAAATTAAATTTCTAAAAGTTAAAACCTCTTTCTGAAACTTATGTTTCTACCTTCCTAACTATTATCATGCAATATTTGAATGAAGTTAAATAGGTATGTTCTTAAAAAAACCAACCTTTATCTGATACTTACTTTATGTACCATCCTCCTCCACTGTTATCATGCCATATTCGAATGAAGTCTAAATCACCAAGTGTCCTTGGTGTTGTCATTATAAAAACATCGCAGCTTGATCTTTGAAAACATTCTCTTTCTGGATCTTTTAAATGCCTCACTCCACTGTCAGTTACATCACCTTTACATCATAAAAATAATAAAAATTTACTAGTACTATATTATTTGAAAAAATGCATTTTTTTGCATTTTCATAAATAATATATTGTTAAAACAAATGCATTTTTAGCAATATTTTGTATAGCTAAATATATTATTAAAAATGAATTTTTTTTTTTTAGATTTATATTATTATTTTTTATTTATTTATTATTTATGCTATTATTATTAATGTCATTATTTTTTTATTTAAGTTATTAATTTTTTTTTAGATTTATTTTATTAAGATATCTTTATTTACATTTAGGGTAAAGAAACAAAATAAAAGAATTATAAAATATTTTTATAAAATATTTTATAAAAGCAGGGTATTATTAAGTTAATTTAGTTTTGCAAGTATTAATTTTTTTTTTATATTTGATGCAGGTAATCTGGGGTGATTGGACTAGACTGAGCAATTAAAGCCCACATAGAAATATGAAACATTTCTATTGAATAACGGAGGATAAGCAATAAAGAAGAAGAAACTCATACACAAATCATAATCAACTGTAAATTTATTGTATACCTAAAACAATATAGGACACCTAGTATACCTAAAACAATATAGGACAGATAAGTAACCATAAATCTTCATCAAATGCAAATGTTTAACTTACTTTAAAACAAAAATACATATGCATAGATATATCAATATTTAAAATGAATAAATATAAATTGAAAGAAGGTATATAAAATTTTTTTTAGCTTTTATCCTCAAAATCCCTTTATTTTTACTGGCATTTCAAAGAGGCTCAGCATCAATACCTATGTTAACTTTAATGTATACTTTATTTAGTAATGTTAAGTTTGAGTTAGGCAAAATTTTGTAAAGATGTACGCTTTGTGCTTATTTTTGATGCAGTGCTAGAACAAATAATCTATTTAGATTGTTATAACAAAAAATATTTGGTCTTTAAAAGTATTTGGTCTATGAGCATATAAAACAATGTTCTTTTCAGAAATGAAATAGTGGAGGTTTATTTAAGAAAAACAAAGTAATGCTGAAAAAAAACCAGATGAAAAAATGGACCCAAATTGTTCTACATATAGAACAAAACATGGAAATGGTAGAATAGGCATCTGGGCCTGCATGAACTATTAATGTGTCGGTTGTTTCAAAATATTTTATGGAAGGCTCGATTCTCAAAGATATTTAGTCATATTGGATAATTATTTAATGCCTTCTATTGATATTTTCCCAAAAAACATGGGAATCTTCCAACAAGATATTGCTCCATACTGCTATTATTTGCAAGCAATTGTATGAAGGAAACAACTTAAAACCATGTGTTGGCCTCCCAACAGTCCAGATCTCAAACAGATAAAGAATTTGTTGTCTGGGTTAAACCACAATCTTGGTAAAATTAAAATAAAAGATCTGGACCAGATAAAAGAATAAGTAACAAAATTACATAATAGTGTTTCAAAAGAGATTGCTCAAAATTTAGAGAACTAGATGCCAAAATATATCAATGAATGGTTAAAAACAAAAGGATTGTCAAAAAAATATTAATTCTTTTTTTATATATATTGTAAGTATTTTTTTATTAACTTTGTTTTTGTGGTTTGTTTATTTTGGCCACATTTATTTTTTGATACAAATTAACACTTGTTTTAATTTCAATATGTTAAATTTTAATTTTTTAAATTTTTATTATTTTATAATGTTATATTGTGATTATTTGATTTATTTCAATAATAAAAAAAGTAAGGAAAAAATCACTTTTATTTTTCGAAAATATTTAATTTCTAACTTAAAATTTAACTTATACTAAAATAACATGATGGATTGTTATTAATGGCTAATAATACTGTATATACTTATATATATATATATATATATATATATATATATATATATATATATATATATATATATATATATATATATATATATATATATATATATATATATATATATATATATATATTTATATATAGAATTTTTTATATATACATGTATATATATATGTGTATATATATATATATATATATATATATATATATATATATATATATATATATATATATATATATATACATATATATATATATACACATATATATACATATATATAAATACTACATACCGGTAACAGTGAAAAAGATGTTTGATTTGGTGCCAGCATTTCGTCGGTTACCAGTATTCACTACAATTTCATATAAATACTTATCTTCAGGTAAATTATCAAGAAGAGGACACACTCCAACCTAAAATATTTAAAATAAGTATTTTTTTTTATAATAAACTAATTTTCAAATAAAGACAAATACTTTTGTTTTACTAAAGAAAAAAATTTTCTGTTGCATTTAAAACTAGCTAATTAATGACTATTTTGATAGCAAATTTTTTTAGGAAAATGTTAAATTTATTTCAATATTTTGTGTTCATTGTGCTTTTGATTATTAACACATAACATTAAAAAAAAAAATATAATGGGTTATGCATAAGTCTTCGAACTTTTTTTGAAACTGATTTAAATAAGGAGAGTAATTTTTCAACCTTCAACTTATTGTTTATTTTGAAGATCAAACATTAATGTATTTAAATCACTTTTAATTTTTATCTAGACTTCTATACAAAAAAAATGACAAGGTTTGATCGAGAAGCCCTCGCAAAACGAATTGTAATATTCTATGAAAATCGTTTAAGTGATAAAAAGAAATTAACATATAAACATTTTAAAAATGAAGGAATACCTAAGTCAACTATATTTAGTATTCTTGCAAGGTATGAAAAGTATGGCATAATGATTTGGTTAGATAAGGTTGTTCTCCAAAAATAGATAAGAAAAAAGTCAAACGATTGACTAAAATGCTAAATAATTCGACTGGTATTAGTCAAAAGTATTTAGCTTCATATTTTAAGGTGAACCAAAGCACAATATTAAGAACTATTAATTTCAAAACAGATATTAAATGCTACAAAAAACAAAAAGCACCTTTGTATGAAAAAATCAACTACAGAGAGCAGCAACATCATCGAGAATTAGTTAATAAAGTATTCCATGAAAAAGCTTTAATCATGGATGACAAAAAATATTTTAACCTATGAAACTCAAATATACCTGGAAATGATATATATTATACAAATAATAAATTGTTAGCCCCTGATAATGTAAAATATAAGTTGAAAAAAAAATTTGAAGAAAAGGTATTGATTTGGATTTGCATTTCTTCAAATGGATTTTGTGAACCTTATATACATAGATCAAAGAATTCAATAACATCCAATATATATGTGAAAAAATGTATGAAGAAAAGAATTATACCATTTGTTAGAGAACATCATAAAGATAATAATTTTGTGTTTTGGCCAGATCTTGCAACTGCTCATTATGCTAATAAAACAGAAAATTGGTTTATTGATAATTCCATAGAACTTGTACAAAAATGCACTAATCCACCAAATGTTCCACAGGCTAGACCAATTGAAACATTTTGGGCTATTTTAAGTCAGATGGTATACAGTGATGGTTGGAGAGCACGTAGCATATATCAACTAGTTTGAAGAATAAAAAGCAAATTAAATGAAATAAAAGAAAATGATCCAGATCTGTTACAAAGACTAATGATGAGTGTTAAAAGAAAACTTAGAAAAATCACTGATAGAGGCGTCTATTCAATATGTTAAATATATTAATAAATACTAGATTGAATGTTCTTTATTACCATATAGTTTCATTTTTTTATCTAACTAACAATATTTTTTTACGACTCTATAAAAAAAGTTTGAAGACTTATGCATAACTTGTTATATATATATATATATATATGTAAAAAAACTCTAAACCACCTTTATTTTTTGTTTGAGACCCCACAAAACTTGTAAAATTTATTAGTAATGATACAGTTTTGTACAATCTACCACAAACATATTGGCTTGTGTGTAATGAAACATAATGATAAAATGACTGTTTTTAAAACTTTGAGTTTTGCATTTATTAAGGAATGGGTAAAAAAAGGCAAATAAAAAATTTTTCTTAATTATGAACCTCATTTACTGAACCCTACTTATAAGCCTGCCAGTCTAATATTTGAGACTAAACTTCAAGAAAAAAATGCCTGTTCATTTTGTTGTCAAATGATTTACAAAAATTACAACTATTGCAGTGAGGTGACAAAAATTTTTATGCGGTTTAGGTCCCTAATTTAATATGATGGGAAATGGACTGAACTTAAAAAAATTGTTTGCGTTTATATGGTTTGTAACATAACTTTAAAATTAAATATTATATATATATATATATATATATATATATATATATATATATATATTATATATATATATATATATATATATATATATATATATATATATATATATATATGTATATATATATATATATATATATATATATATATATATATATATATATATATATATATATATATATATATGTATATATGTATATGTATATGTATATGTATATATATATATATATATATATATATATATATATATATATATATATATATATATATATATATATATATATATATATTAAATTTGGAAATAGAACTCATCAAAGCATGTTTTAATTATTTCAAAGATGCTTTGAACAACTAATTTTTAACATTTGTATATTTACATGTCATCTAACATTATACATAAATGATAAATAAAATATAGTAGAAATATAGTGTTTGTAACCAAAGTAACAGTGGTATTTGTAACCAAAGTAACAGTAGCGTTTGTAACCAAAGGTATAAATCAAATTAGACTTTTAATTTAAATTCTTCCTATACTAATTATTCAAAAAAACTAAAAAAAAAAAAAACATAAAAAGTATAAAAAAAGTTAAGCAATAAACAAGATAAAAAATCACCTTTAATGCATCATGTTTGTCTATTCTCCTGGCCAGCAGTAAACCAATAATCCATAGCATAATGATAATTACAACACTTATAAGAAGAGTGTAACCTGTTTTTATCTTTGATATTGAGAGTTTAGGTAATGGGTTTGGGGAAACAAAAAATCCACCAAAAGCTGTCAAATGAGTACATTTACATTTAGTGACCAAAAAGGTTGTGTTATAATAATCAAGCTAAAATAACATCATTTTTTTCAAAATAAGAAAAAAAAATAAATAAATTAAAAAAAAAATATATATATATATATATATATATATATATATATATATATGTATAAATATATATATATAAATATAAATATATATATATATAAATATATATATATATATAAATATATATATATATATATATATATATATATATATATATATATATATATATATATATATATATATATATATATATATATATATATATATATATATATATATATATATATATATATATATATATATATATATATATATATATATATATATATATATATATAATATATATATATATATATATATATATATATATATATATATATATATATATATTATAAGATGTTCAATGTATAAACTGGAGCCCTGGCTATTTTAGTGTGAAGTCATACATGTTATCTAAACATGCATTAAAAAAAATGTTGCCTATTGCATCATTTTTTTTCTAGAAACAGTCTTTAGCAGAAATAGTGACCAGACTTGAGACCATTGTTGGATTTTCAATCTACGGAATATGCAAAAGTGAATTCATTCATCAAACATTAAGTAAAAAACAATATCATCTTCTAGGTGAAGGTAAAAACGTTGTGATGAAACTATTTTATCAATATTGTGCTATAGCAAAAAACTAACTTATAGTTAAAACAATATTACATTAAAAACAAAAGTGGAATTTATGTTTGATGAATGGACTAGTCTGCGAATATATTTGACATAGATAAAACATTGCCAATCGATTTATTTTATTAGTTGCTCCTGTAATAAATCAATATTTTTGGAAGCTGTACAGCCGAAGTAACAATTGATCTAGCTAAAGAGAAACTATCAGAGAATTTTTTAGACCATCCATTAGATCATCCATTGACGCTGTTGCAGTTATGATCACATTTAGGAGATCTGGTTTTATACACCAATTAAGTTTTAACCACAGCATACACTTGGCTGTAATGAACATTATTTATAAAAGAAATAAAAATCCTAATGTTCATCATATTGATTTTTTAGAAAATGTTTCTAGCTTTTCTAGTGACAACTCTTGTGAATCTGAAAATGAAAGTCATAATAAAAACATTTTCAAACCCCAAATATGTGAAAAAGATTATATAAATGTGGCTTGATTAGAATTGATTACAAATGATTAGAAAAATAGTTTTTTTAAATTTTGTTAAAAAGAAATTCCATTTTACAAGACCATGTAAACGTAGAGCACAGAGTTGAACTTAGTTTATCGCTAGATTGCTGAACAAACGGAACAGTATTGTAACAAAATTTTTAAAAGTGATTGGCCTCTTCAAGTGAGATGAACTGATCATCAAGTGATTGAAAAAAAGCATTAAATGACTTGAATGCTCTGAGCTTTTTAACAGATATTTAACAATATATGTGAGATATTTAACAATATATGTTTTAGTTTTGAAAAATACTTTGAACGCTTTTCACCCATTCAAAATAGCTAAAGAGACATAAGGTAAACATGATGCAAACTTGTTAACTACTAATACAATTTAAAATTTTTTATTTAATTTTAAGTCTAATAATAATGATGCAATAACAGATGTTGCTATCTATGTTATATATATCCTACAAAGATGTATAGATCTTATAAAGATGTTACTATCTATGATCTTATTAAGCTATATATGCTCCTATAAAGCTATCTTTTATAAAGCTATGCTCTTATAAAGCTTATAAAGCTATATATGCTCTTATCTACCTATGCCCTTGCTATCTATGATCTTATAAAGATGTTGCTATCTATGTTATATATATATACATATATATATATATATATATATATATATATATATATATATATATATATATATATATATATATATATATATATTATATATATATATATA